CCTTCTACTTCAGCCAAAGATTCTCCCACATGGACATATTTAATGGACCCTGTATATGATACATATGCAAGTCTCACACATTCCCTCTATTACCAAGGGCGCCTCACACACTCTGAACATGGCAGTTCCAGCTTTGATTCTTCTGTCCTGGGAGGCCACAGATACACTCACAATCTCCAGTGTAACTTGAGGAGGATCCCACTTGAAAAGAGGAGATGCACACCTTCCCTCTGCCCTCAAGGACGTCTCGAATCTTCTCAATATCATCAAGCGAACCAAAGATTTTCCCAGTCTGAACAAAGGGTCCACAGACAGGCCTCCTCTAAGGACCTGGATTATAACCACGAGGGGTTCAGAAATTTCTGCTCTGATCTACGCTGTGTCAGACCTTCAACTTGTACCCAGAAGGGCTTCAGGCATGTCTTTACCCAGAAGGAGGACCCACATCATCTGGACCTGTCCATTGGGTCCTCTACCACGTACCAGATCAAGAAAGGAGTATGAGACCCATCCCTTCATATCAAGGGGACTTCACAAATTCTTCCACAAATGAGAGCCTCCCACGTTCCCACTATTACCAAAGGGGACTCAGCTACAACCCATCTGCACACAGGAGGTTTGGATTATCACTCTACTATAAAGAATGCGTTAGACTTTCAACATCGACCCAAGGGGGGGCTCAGATTTTCTTCAAGAGGAGGCTTCAGGTGAGCACCCTCTGACAAAGAGGCAGTCAGAACTCTCCCCTCTAATTAAGGGCAGGGCAGGATATAATGCTACCCATGGGGCCTTCAGAAGTAGCCCATCTACCCAAAGAATATCAATATATAACCCCTCTAACTAATGTCATAGTAGACCTATTTCATCTCACCAATATGTTGACGGATCCACACCTTCTTCCCAGAAGCTCTGACGGCCTCCCCTTTAAACCAAGTGTGGCTCACATCCATGCTCTCTCACCTCCAGGGCCTAGACAACTCCCCTTCTGTTGAAAGGAAGCTGAACTCATGCTTGTCTGAGATCCCAGAGCTTCAGAGTATCCAGGAGAGGCAGTCACAGAAAGTTGAGAAGATTCTAGAACTTGCTGACTTCCAAAAGTGACCTTACATGTTCCAACTTGGACCCAAGGGAGTCTTTTACCCCCTTACTTTCCCAATATGGCCTAGGACTTTCCACCTTGTAGAACAGTTTCGTGGGCCTCCCTGATTTGCCTGAGGAAATCTCATCAATTACCATCTTGACTAAGTGGCATCAGAATTGCCTTTCTGACAAAGCAAACCTTACACCTTACACTTCAAAACCCCAGGGTTCCAACCTTTCCCAAAGACCGAGGGTGCCCCAATCCTATCCCTCTGGCACAAGCATATCTCACACCTTTCCCCAAAGACTCAAGAGCATCTCAGGCATAGCCTTTAAAACCATGGAGCATCGTGTGGCCATGCTGGAGGAAGAACATCAGTAGGGGTGGGCTTTGAGAATATGTAGTTTGCCCACTTCCAGGGTGGCTCTCTCTGCTTCCTGTGCTTGCTTGAAGATGTGAGTCCTCAGCTTTCTGCTCCCACCACCTCCTGCCATGCCTCCTCCACCATGATGGACTCTCCCTCTGGAACCATGAGCCAAATAAACTCTTCCTTCTGTAAGTGGCCTTGGTCATTGTGTTTTATCATAGCAACAGAAATGTAACTAATATACTTTTCTAACCACCTAAGCACTATTTATTAACCATTACTGAGCAGACCCAGCTTCCTGAACACAAACTTGAGGAAGCAACCTAGCTTCTTGCCTAGCCAAGCTCTTCAACAATTCTAAGACTGCTGCCTGGACTCTGGAAGATTCTACTAAGAATACAGAGTTCCTAAACTGTGAGGGAGACGTGGAGCTCATGAGGAAATGCTAGAACCTTCTCTACTGCACAAGGTATGAGAGACAATTCACCTTGTGTCTAAAACAGTGAGATTTTTCCCCCTCTGGCCAAGAGGGTAGAAACATTTACCTTTACCCAAGAGGGCCTCAGAATTTCCCTTACCTGGTCTACACGTCTTCTGCTCTTTCCAAGGGACCTCACTACTTCCAACTTTGATGAAGGCTTCCCGAAGAGTCAAAAGGGACCTCAGACCTTCCATTTGCCCAATGTGGGCTTAGACATTGAATTGAATAAAGTCATAAAGCCGTTATGAAGTAGGCAGGCTTCAGATCTTCCTCTTCCTATTCAAAAGGACCCAGTCCTAGTCAGTCTGCCAAACATGGACCTTAGACCCACACCCTCAGCACCAGAGACCCTCAGACCTCATGTTCTAGCCTCTTTGAACAAAGGGACTTCTATCACTGCCTTTCTGCTAAATGAATGCTTAAAGGACCTGCAGACAAGGGAGGGGGTGTCTCACTTCTACTCTCTTCTCCCCGGGGCTTCAGTTCTACACACTCTGACCAGGGGAGTTCCAGAGCATCCCCTTCTGTCCATGAGGGCTTCAGACCTACCTCCTACCTAAAAGGCCCTAATACCTTCCTCCTCTGACCTGGGTGGTCAGGAAAATGCCTTTGTGAAGAGTCCTCAGACAATTCAGGATTGCTGTCACAGGGCAGAAGAGTAAAAATCTAAGCCCCAAACTTTGATCATCTACCTTCAAAGTGATCACCAGAAAAGGAGAGACCCCCAACTTCCATGTCACACTTGTGCAGCTGAACAAAAATTTGTGTAGAGCACAGATCCAGGGACTGCATCCAATGTAGTGGAACTCTCAGACTGCTGCCAAGATGCCCGAGTCCCTAAAGATATGGTTATTGTAGACTATAAGGAAGAGTTGGAAGCTAATGAGGTATCGCCTTGACCTTCTTCCCTCTGCACAAGGGAGCTGGAGACCTTCATTTTCTACCTTCAGGGTTCTAGGACCTTACTGTTCTGCCTGACATCTTTCCCTCTGAAAAAAAAATGTGGCCTTAAACTTCCCCACCCTTTTCTGCTCCTCACATCTACCCCTCTCACCAACAGGGGCTTTGCAGTAATAGGCCCCCAGGATAAGGAGACACCCATAAACTTCGGCTTTAGCTCCCAGCACCAAAGAGTAACAGAGCCTGAAACCCAAGTCACCTGCCTTTAATTCAGTCACCAGAAATGGAATGGCCCCATCATTTCTGCCCAGAGCTAGCTATACACAAACTTGAGGTGACAAAAGCTGGTACAGTGAAAAATGCTGTTAGAAGAATGCTGAGATTGCACCTGGTCACCTGACGAGTCAGTTCAAGAGATGGATGTCGTAAACTATGAAGCATTACAAGGTGACGAGAACTTCAGGGAACTTTCTCCACTGCACAAGGTACCAGAGACATTGACATTCTGTGCCAGGGATTATGTAACTTTGACCACTTGCCAAAGGGAGGTCAGATCTACAACTTAGTTGTGTTTCTGAGGTTCCCTTTTGTACAAGGATGCCACAGCTACCTCTCCTAAGCTACCCTACTCTTTCCTACTTCACTGAAGTGGATATCAGACCCTTTCATAGTAAAAAAGTGATCTCAGACCTACTCAGTTTGCCCAAGGGAGGCTTAAACATTAATATTACGAACAGGCCCTCACTCATTCTTACCAAATGAACTTCAGACTTTCCCCTCTCACTAAAGGAACTCCAGATCAAGGACACTAATCCACTGGGTGTGAAAAAGGAAGCATAAGACTATCATACTCTGCTCAAGAGACTATGTAGGGTCTACTTCCTTCAACCAAGGGGACTTCAGGCATTGCATTTCTGCCTAGGGTAGAAATGGGACAACTCTTTGTGAGGAAATGGTTTTCAGAACGGAGCCTTGCTACCAAGGGGGATGTCAACCTTTACCTTGTGCTCAATAGGGCTACAAGCAGACACGCTTCAACTGCTGGTACCTTAGAGCTTCCCCTTCTGACCACGGTAACCTCATAACTGCCATTCTTACTAAGATGATCTTAGAGACTCCCTCTCTGACCAAAGTTTCAGGGAAATATTTTTGCAACCAATGTGTCCTCAGAACACTCTGCTTTTACCTCATAGGGGAGATGATGCCAAACTAAAAGCAGAACTCAGGCCCTGTGCCTTTATCCTGGTCAACAGAAATGGAATGTCCCCATCGTTTGCTTTCAGACCTGCTCATCTGAACACAACCTTGAGGGATCATCAAAATACCCTGACTGCTGCCTGGACTCCTGAAGATTCTTCCAGGTAACTGTAACTGGGAAAAATACTTGAAAGCTACTGAGGCAATTCGGGAGACCTATTCAAATCCCCAAGTTTAACTGGACCTTCATCTTCGCCCAAGAGAAAACTGGATCTTCCAGTTCTGCCAATCCTGGCCAGGGAATTTTCCTCCCTGAATAAGGAAGTTCAGAATGTCTCCCTTTGACAAATAAGCCTCAGAAGAGATGGACAGAGAGTATCAGAACTCTCCTCTTCCCTAGAAAACTCCCATTCTTTTTTAAAGAAAGAATTCATCAGAACTAATTCAATGTCATAGTGAGGGTCAATCCTTCCTCTCTTAACAATGTGGCCTTGGGGACATTATCCTCTGACCAAAAAGGCATAAGACCTACTGTCTTTAACCTAGGGAATTCTGACATTTCTATGTGTCCAATGTGATACTAGATGTTTCCTTTTGAATAAGAGGGCATCATGCCTTTTACTCATTGTCCTTTGGATCTCCAGAGCATCCCTTTATTTACATGGAAACCACAGATCTACCACTAGCTGACACAACCTTAAACATTCTTACTCACTGGGAGCTGGGGTCGTGAAATAGGAGACTAGAAAAATATTCCTAAGGTAAAGGAACCTCAGACCACTCTGGTGTGAGGTCCCAGAGCAAGGAACTCACATAACCTGCCTTTAAGCTTGTCACAGGAAATAGTGAGGACACACCCTATGTGCCAACACCTGTGAGGCTTGAGGAGGTCACCAAGACAGATACAGTTAACCAGCATGTCAGAAAAATGCTCAGATTCCTTCAAGAACTTCACGGAGTTTCCAATGGACTGTTTTAGACTTTGATGAAGAGCCGGAATCTGAGGAGGAAATGCCCTGTCCAGGAGGCCTAATGCTCCTCCACTGCACAAGGTACCTGCTCCATTTATTTACCTACTGCTCAAGTGGGTTTGGAATCTTCTTTCTTCTCCCTAATCTTTCTATTACTTTTTACTCTCTGAAGTCTGGGGCAAGAGACTTTCTCCTCCTGCTCAAGATTTCCTATCTAACATAGCTGACCCAAGTGTGGGTAGGGCTCAGGACTTTCCCTGAGGGAAACTACTCAGGAGAATTCCCCCTTAACACCAAGGTGGTCCACTGTGGTTAGAGTCCTCAGAACACAATCTGAGAATGCAGAAGGATTCCAGGCCACTGCCTTCAGGCTAGACATCAGAAGTGGTACGATGTCATCCTCCTGCACAGATTTGTTTGGCTGAGGACAACCCCAAGGAGGCAGTCTAGCATGGGAGGGCCACACATGCTGGTCACAAATACTAACATTGCTGCCCAGTTTGTTGAAGGTTCCGCTGAAGACATCTTAAACTGATGGATATCTTACACTGTGACAGATCATTGGAAGCTGTTGAAGAAATGTTTAGGCCTCACAGCAGAGAAGAAGGTATGGGAGACAAGTCAACTTGCCCTCTACATGGTATGGGATCCCCCGCCACATACCCCACCCCCACGCATCAAGAGAGTACAGGTCTTAGCATTTGTCCAAGATGGTATCTGATTTTCCCTGCTGACTCTGCACACTCACCAAGAGAGGATGATAAATACGTGCTTTGAACAATGGGGATATAGATCCACACTAGCTGGATCTCCTTGATCCGCAGAGTAACAAGCAAAGTGTAGGACCCATGTCATCTATGTTCAATTCAGTAACCAGAGAACATGTGACTCTATTATTCTTTCCTAGATCTCCAAGATCTGGGCATTTTAACACAAACTACTGGAGATGACAGTCGTCCAAGCTGAGTACTAAGATTGTACCCACCGACTGATGACTGTAAGCAAAATATGGATGAGATACACTGTAAAATATACTTGAAACAACATTCAGTAATGAGACCTTCCCTTCACTGAAGAAGGTAAGAGGGACAGTCACCTGCCCAAGGAATTCTGGAATGGTCCTACCATATCTGCTTGGCCTAAGATATTCTTCCTAAGAATGTGGCCTGACCATCACCTTCTGCCTAATAGGGTCTTATACATAACTCTTCTGATCAATTATGCTTAGTATAATCTTCTGATGAAGAAGACATTCCTCCATTCTTCTTGAAGTCCAGGAGCCAGAGAGAAATGAATAGAACCTGTTCACCAAGCCGTCTGCGTTCAATCCTGTCACCCTAAATGAATGTTCCCCATTATTTCTACCCAGGTCCAGAACACTGAAGACAAACTACAGGAGAAGACCAGGACATGGATGGCAATCCAGGCTGTTTTAAAAAGGCTGAGGTTGCTGCTTGGTCTCTGCCAGATTCAAAACAACCTATGGATATTTAAAATCATGAAGACTTTGAAGCTGATGAGCAGTGCTAGGACTTTCTCTACTTCCCAAGGTACCAGGGACATTCACCTTCTAACCAAGGGTAGATGGGATTTTCCCCATTTGTCCAAGGGATTGAGGCCTTCATCTTTGCCCAGTAGGGTCCCTGTGATTGTCTCTCTCACAAGGGTGCCAGAGCTCCAACTCCGGGTTATTTTACTACTTTCCACTTCATTGAAAGGGATGTCAGAGGTCCCAAAGACAAAGGCTGTTTCAGTCCTTCCTGGCTTCCCCAAGGGAAACTTAGATATTAATATTGTGTGAAAAGGCCCTCACTTTCTTACTAAATGGACTTCAGATGTTTTCCTCACTAAAGGAAGCAGCACAGGGGAATAACCCATCCAGTCTGCATAAGAGAGCATAAGACCCTCCCACGTTGCCTAAGGTGTGTGTATGATCTACTGCCTTTGACAACGGAATACATACATTCTTTTTCTGACTAAGTGTAAGTGGAACATGACAATCCTATGAAACCAAAGTCAAAATTGGACCCTGTGGCCAAGGTCATAGGGGAGGGCGACCTTCACAAACTGTCAAAGGGCTTCAAGTATACCCTGTGACCATGAAACCATAGAGCTTCCTGGCCCCTTGTCCATAAAGACCCTGCACTATCCTACTTGCTAAGATGGATTAGAGCTTCCTCTTCTCTTCAAAGTGCCAGGCAAACACGTTTCCAGCCAATGCAACCTTAGAACACTGCACTTAGTAGAACGCTCAGAACACTTAGATCCTGGTGAAGGTGATACCAAGCTGAAACCTGAAATCAGGCCATCTGCCTTGAAGCTGGTCAACAGAAATGGCATGTCTCTGTCTTTCATTCCCAGACCTACTCAGCTGAACCCAAACTTGCAGAGTCATCAAATCTCAGGTCCCTCCCTCAGCCTGGTCACAAGTTCTCTGACTGCTTCCCAGGCTCCAGAAGGTGCAACTCAAGGTATGGTATCTGTAAATGGGGTGAAAGGTGGAAGCTAATGAGACTGTTCTGGAATCTTCTTCAGTATCCAAGGTAACATGGGTTCTTCAAGGAAAACTTGACTATTTCATTTGTCAAAATGGCCAGACAATTTTGCTGTAAGTAAGGAAGTTCAGAACTTTAGCTTTTCCCAAAAGAACGGCAAGTTGATTTTGTAACTCGGACCACTGCCTTACTCCTGTATCCCTCAATATCTATGTTCTATCCTATATGCCCAGACCTGTTAAGATGAACATACTCTGGACGAGGACACTGAGCCAAAGACTGCC